TAGAGGGGGTAGAGGGTAAGGGGTGGAAGGGGTGGTAAAGGGGGGGTAGGGAGTGGTTGGGGGGGAGGGTGGAAGTGGTAGAGGGGGCTGCGCAAGCAGAAAAGCGAGCGTAAGCGAGCATTTGATGCTTGTATCACATGAAGAATAATTCAAATGATAATATTCTGAAAAGAGCTGTGTTGATATTTCACACTATTTCTGCCTCCGTGGCCGCTTCAATACCTGCGTCTGCTGGGTGAATGACGTATTGAGTGTAACTTCTGCTGAGAGTGCACAGATTTCTTGACTGTTATCCTCATTCAAAAAAGATGGAACGCTTGATTGAGAGAGTCCAAATTCTGACTGTGAAACATCAAAATTTACTCCAGGAGGAATCTCATCAATAGCAGAGTGAATCTTTCTCAGATGATCTGGCGCCCACTTCTCATATACATTCCTTGTAAATGTGTAAGCAGACCACTTCTCTCTGCCGTCAAGCTCCGTGAAGTCAAACATTCTGATGGGGTGACGGTAGAAGGAAGTCTTGTTCCCCTCAATCACAGCATAGTGGCCGTAGATTCTCACTGTCCGGTGGTCATGTGAGATTGAGAAAGCCAAGATCTCGCGATTGACCTCTTCTTTCCGTCCCACCAGTTTAAACAGTTCAACAACACCCCTCACAGCAAGAGTCATACTGTGTGCATTCTGCCGGTCAGCAATGTCAAGTGCAACGGTACCCTTCACCTCGCTGGTCAAGAAGGGAAAGTACATGTAGAAGGTGGCTAGGAAGAAGGAGCTGTAGGAATCCAGGTCGTAGCCAAGGAATGGCTCAAACTTCTTCAGCTGGTCTTCTGTGAATGCAGAACGGCTGAAGCCAACCGCATAATCAGGCTGCGGGCGTGGTCCACAGAAGGCAATGGAGGAAGCCCACTGTTCATTGACACTTTCAGTCAAACACTCTAAATTCTTAGCGCCACATGTAGCAAATGTCTCTGCCGAAGGGACAATCAACCGAGATATATCTTGAACAACCCTTGATTCATTTTTAGTCTGTAGCTTTTGACAAGCCTTCCGGAACCGATCATTCTGAAATATTGTGCCTTCAGGAATCATCTGTTTCTCATCAAGTAGTGTCCTGCAAATCTCTTTGCTGTTTTCTGTTACTTCAAGTTCGGATTCAGCCATAAAGCTGCCCTTGGTGGCAAGGAGAGTCTCATAGGTAGCGCTTCTGTATTTGGCGCTCTTTCCATCTCTCGATTCTTGATCAGTGGGTGTGTTGGAGCCCGTAGCGAGACTCGAGGTTGAGTTCTTGCAGCGAACAGAAGCCGTTGACTTTTTCTTTGCAAGTAGGTGGCTCATGTTTTCTCCAGGCTGTGCTTCGAAATAGTCTATAGGCCAGCGATTGTTCTTGCACCAATATCCGATCAGGTCAACCTTCTTCCAGCTAGCAATATCACGTTTCTTTTCCACAAAAATATATTCAATAGCTAGGCTCGTAGACAATCGAGGTCGTTTGAGGGAGGAGGGCGCTTGATCTTCACAAGGTCGTTTATGATTTGGTTTTGTACTCTGTTCTCGGTTGTGGGTGCAGGTGGGAGGCTCCTGCAATAGCTCCGAGTAATCAGTTTCATATCGCCGTCATACAATTGAGGAAGTGCACATACAGGGGCGTTTTTACTGCTTAGGCGCGCGCTCCTACGGTAGGGTCTCGGTCGTTGTTCCTCCTTAACATGTGTCCCTATAACAAGTCAGACCCAAATACAGTAAGGACGTTCCCGGGACATCCCAGATATTACCTTTGTCTTCGGGTGCCTGGCGTTTTCTGGCAACTATCGGCGTTTGACACTCAGGTTTATTGATTCTGGGCATCATTTGATGACGAGGCATTTTAAGGAGATAGGAAATGGTGGAGCTTGGTCTTTATAATTGAAGGAGTGTGAATTGGCAGACAGTTAAAAGGGAGCCCATCCAGTTTGGATTAGGTCCACACAGTACTTGCATTTCAGAAACCTCACTGGATCTGGGCGCTAATATTAAACACTCAATGTTCGTCTTAAGTGGTAGAGTCTGCAAGGTCTGGATGATGAGACAAAAACTGAGTGAGGTTGGGCGATTTGCATGGAGTTGTTTAGTTACCTTACCCTTGGTCGGTTGGGGCGAAGTGTGATAGGTTAATTGACCTTGTTCTTTGGGCATTAGCTCCTCAGGTAATAATAATAACTATGACACGAAGCATACAAATGTCATGCAGGCGCGAGGACCACATCCCACATCTCATAATAATAATACCAATGGGATGTGGTGGAACTGGAAAGATCGTTGCCAAGAGCCAGTTCACTTCCACACTACTCCGTAGTCATGTGCCAATCTCACTCATCTCCCGAGGTCTTTTCCATTCTTTCGCCAGGTATACCGTGTATGTATGTACAGTATATCAATATTGAAACTAACTTTCCATCGATTATGGAAAACCAACAACCGGCCCTGCGTAGAGAACGTCTCTCGCGCCATAAACCTCTTCAGACTAACGAAGCTTGGGATAAGGTTGTCTGCACCATTGAGGATCTCAAGCTCCAGGGAAGCGTGAGGGTTGCCCAGACAAAAAGCGTTGTAGAAGCACAGACTTCAGCCAGCCAGACGCAAAAAGTACAAACGATTCCTTTACAATGTCCTCCGAGAATCAGGTCCCCAAGCGGTTTTAATATGCACTGCGACCCTTGGCCAAACCAAAGCTGCTGGTATGAAAGAATTGTATTGTGATCTCCTTGTTTGCCAAATCCAGAGTTGTGAGGATATCTATGAATCATTCTACTATGCAATTGCTTGCTATCAGATACCAAATACCTTGCTCTGAGAGTGGTATACCGTATGTTCCACCTGTCTTTGCTCTGCAGGTCTTGCTGAGTGCTGACTGTCAATAGATGTGACAAGTGTGTCAAAACCCTCAGACTTGATTGTACTCACAACTGAACCTTGCTGAATGGATGAATTGCAAAATTCTGAGACTATAGATCTTATTGTCATCAGAAGTCTCACTTCTCAGAAGCAGCAGCTCAATCTAAGTTTCTATTATCAAGATAAGTGATCTCTTCCAGAATCACAGCAGATTCTAGGTCTGTATACTATCTTTCATAAGCTTTCAGTAGTTGACATTCACAGGAAATCTGATTCTGCCATGAGATGATTGATACTGGTCATTCTCATTCATGAATTGACATATAGTTACAAACCTCTCTGAATCATTTCATACTGAAATGGAAATGAGCAATTTATGAAAAGAGAAAAGAATAGAGAAGAACTGATGATTACAAATTATTTATCTATATCTCTTTCAACAACACTCAATAAGAACGCTCTATGTATAATCAGAATCAGCTATGATGATAGGTTTAGTATCTGTAATATGTTTGATTTTGAAGAAATAGATATTCTGGTCTGAGTGACTCTTATCTGCAAATAAATGACAATGCTTTGTGCCTCACCTGTTCTGAAAAAAGCTGCAAGAAGATAGCTTCATGAGAACTTCTTTTTGAACATAATTCATGCCTTTATCACATAACATTTATACTCAGAAAGAACTTCTTGTGTTACCTGTTCATGTGCTGTACTTAAACTGTCAACTAGCTTTCTCTCATCATCTGTAATATTGCATGATGTGTCTTTGAACTTCATAGTCATGCAGCATGCTCTTCATTATCTCAAATTTCAAGGCTGTCTTGATCTCTTCTCATTCTTCATATAGAGTTATATCTTCAACTTTCACTGACATAATCTTTCAATGATCAGTATGTAAAATTGTCACCAGCATTGACAGCTCACTAGAATAGAGAGTTTCAAGAAGAGAGCAATCTAGTGAATGTAAATATTAACTGACATTTCTGCAAAATGTTCTTGATCATGAACAGTTGCCAATCTCAGGTGGAATACCATTATTAATCTACATGGTATTAAAATTCTTCAGAGGCGCTTGGTGGCTGACAGCAATAATGTAATGTCGCGGATACCAGATGAAGGCTCTGTTGAAGATAATTCTGCTTTGTCTATCAAAGCAAGACTTTATAAGAATGAGGTGTAAAATGAGGTGGGATCTTCGGCGACGCAAAGTGGAGATATTGTCGCTTGAGTGCTGATGTTTGGTGGAACCAACAAAAAAAAGAAAAAGGGAGAAAGAGAAGGAAAAGTATGACGAAATCGCTGCTGTCGCTGGCTAGACAATGAGACAAGGTAACTTACATCAATAGTGATATTCCGTTCAATCCACCTCTACCGCGAGTCCTTATAATCAACAACAATGCAAGCTGCCAACCGTCTACAGACAGCCCTTCGGACGGGCAGAGGCATTTCGTTCGGCGCATGGCAAATGCTTCCTGGGGCCAACCTTGCCCGGCTCATGGCCAGAAGCGGCTTTGACTGGATCTGTGTTGACACGGAGCACGGCAACATTGCAGGTAAATACCTAAAGGACGAAAGAAACAATGTCCTGTGTTTATTCTATTAGATACAGGGGATGGTTGTATTGCTACGAATCTGGGGCAAGGCTTCTGAACTTGTGCATCAACTGCTGTGTCAATGCTTTTTGGCCGGATTATTAACCATTGCTCATTCTAACTATAAAAGACGCCCAAATGCACGAGGCCGTGGCTGCAATTGCCGCTACGGGTGTTAGTCCTGTTGTACGCATCGCTGCCAACGAGTCGTGGATGGTTAAACGTATGTATACTCTTGCAATGGTTCCCTTTTCAACCCGATTCTAACTCCTACGATAGGTGCCTTGGACGCAGGAGCCCATGGAATAGTGGTCCCCCTCCTCTACACGGTAGACGATGCGAAGAAACTAGTCGAATCAGCCAAATTCCCTCCCCTGGGCAAAAGAGGCTTTGGAAGCCCATTTCCCATGGCGTCATTTGGAACTCTTTCCCAAACAGATTATTTGTTTCAGGCGAATGAAGCCTTGGTTACAATTGTTCAGATAGAAACTAAGGAGGCTCTTGAAAATGTATGGATTGCAGAAAGGTTTATTAACGGGCTAAGACATTCTTTGATTCTATTCCCCTATATAAAACTTTGGGAAGCTAACTGGAATCTGATTTGCAACGGTTTAGGTCGAAGAAATCGCAAAGGTTCCAGGGTTAGACGTGCTCCTGATCGGTCCTTGGGACCTGGGAAACAATATTGGCCGACCTGTTAGGGGTGATTTCCATCCGGACTTGGTGGCTGCAATTGAAAGGATTCGCAAAGCGGCTGTTAACAACGGTAAGAGGGCTGGAATTTATAGCGCAGATGGCGAGTCCGCAAAGAAGTACGCGGAGCAAGGGTTCCATATGGTAAGACGAGACTTGGATTCCATATTGTATATATCTTCTCGTCCACTGCATCGAGTGCTGACGGTTCCATACAGATATCTGTGATTTCCGACGTCGCTGCTCTCCCTACCCATCTGTCGAACTCACTGAAAACTGCTCGTGCTGGTTTATGAGGAGTCCTCCATACGACCCCCGCAGGAGGTGTTATGGAGCGGCATACAGTATATAGTCCCAGGGGCATAATAACCACACCACACAAGCCGTAATATTTTATTTTATTCTTCTACTTCCTTTATTGTATTCTCAACCTCCTGTTCGGTAAATCGATGAAATAGCTTCTTCGGGTCTGATAGGGTTTCGCGTCCATCGCTGGATTTAGACATTACGCGCTGAACGTGTAGAACCGGTACGTCAAACTCGTAAATGTCCTTCCACGTTTTATTTTGTGGGACCATCACATCAATTTCTGAATATAAGAATGGTCTCTTTTCCCGTAGGTTTTTTACGGTGTATTTTGCCGTATCGCATAGCGAGCAATTGATGCGTGTGAAGAGAGTGAGTCGAGTACTTTGGAGCAGGCGGCGTGTAGGGTACATCGTGCCGTGTCAGGTCAATCACTGGAACAAACTGTGAGCGATTTGAGCCCGTGTATTCATCAGAGGGCACATACGCGATCCTGGATTTTGCTTTGGCAAGAATAAGCTGGGGAATAATAGCGTTGCCCTGTTTGATATTGCTCAGATATAATCTACCTGCAAAATGCAAAGAAGCACGGGTGGTTGGTCTTTGGTTGATGGCACCAGAAGCTTCGATGGGTTTGGGGGCGTTGGCGCCAGCAAAAGCTCCGAGAAAGCATCGAGGATGATGTAAGTATTTACTTAAATATTTCCAGACCGCCCAACATCCCATCTCAGACTCAATATCTACGGACTATCAGCCAACTCCTAACAGAATTGAGAGAGCCTATTTACTGGGAAATATATCATAAAACAAAATATGGCGCAAAAGTGTGTACACAAGGGCTGCGGCAAGGTGTTTACGGACCCTGACGAACCGTGCACTTATCATCCAGGCCCGCCTGAATTTCACGAAGGCCACAAAGGTCAGTCCCAATGACGCTGTGAAATTGGACTTCTTACTTGGACAACTATATATGAGAGAAGCAAAACGCGAGATCAAAGGAGGGCCCCGAATAGAATCCAGGAAAATAAGTGCGGGAGGAGGATTCCTCCAAAAAGCATCGCAGCTAGCTGACAGAGCTTTGCCACTGCAGGATGGAAATGCTGTAAGCCCCGCGTCCTCAGCTTCGACGAATTCCTGACCATCCCACCATGCACGACGGGGAAACACTCAGCAGTCGATGACACGCCAGCTCCAGAGCCTCAAAAGGAGACACCCCAGGCAGCACCCGACACTACCCCTAAGCATACTCCCATAGCCATTGGAAACATCCCAACCACCCTCTCCGCCGCGGGCGTGCACACCCCTACCCCTACGGCCTCTCCTCCACCAGAATCGGAATCCGATGACCCTTCCCTTGCAATCAAAGCGGGCGCGACATGTCGTCGAAGAGGCTGCAACGCGAAGTACTCACCCTCCGTTTCACGGGATGATGAAAAATGCGTCCATCATCCGGGTCAACCGATCTTCCATGAGGGGAGCAAAGGTTGGAGCTGTTGTAAGCGCAGAGTACTGGAGTTTGATGAGTTTATGAAGATAATTGGCTGTAAAGAAAAAGCTAGACATTTATTTCTTGGGAAGGGGAAGAAATCAGGGGAGGAGAAGGTTGATAATATTCGGTGAGTTGTTTTGAATTATTCATGACGACTACAGCAGATACGTCCAATTGGAAAGATTAGAGAGCCGTGTTGGTGGATGTGCCGGAAAATATTTGAAAAGACTTGCTAACCGCCTTGCACTTTTTACTTTCAGCACCGATTTCTACCAAACCGCGACCTCCATCATGGCCACCCTCTACCTCAAGAAGATTGACAAAGCCAGCGCGAAAGTTAACTTCTCCTCGCCTACTACAATAGAATTGGACCTCCCGACCGCCGATAACAAGCGCTTCAAGGAAACCTTCAACCTCTACGCACCCATCGATGTGGAGAAGTCCAGTTTCCAAATCATGGGCACGAAGATGGACTTGAACTTAGCAAAGGCGGACGGGACGAGCTGGCCTGTCCTACGCAAAGATGATAAACATACGGGGGAGATTATTCAGATTGGACGGGCGAAGAAGGCGTGAAGTCCGAGAGAGGGACGTTTAGGGCAGGGATGCTCTGGGTTTGATGATATGTGGAAACGATGGAGAATCAGTTTTTAACCGTGCATCTTTATCACCGCATTTGGGGAGTTTGGTGGTGCAGGGCTGGATTGCTTGATTTTTTTGGGGACCCAAGTAATTAATAAACGAGAGCTTTCCTTCGAATTGGCATCTTCGTTTCAGTGAATTTCGAGGATGCGTATCCGACGTGTATTCATGCGGCATATACCCTGTATTGGTGGAAGAGAAGGGGGAAATGGGTCACGGACCTTGGCGGAACAGCTTGACAACGTGCGAAATTTTACGAAGGAAAGTGGTGTGAATCGTCAAAGTATGTAGTTCAATTATTATTATTATTATTATTAGTATTTTTGCTCAAAAATCTAGTTTGATCTTCATTGCTTCAGCCTTGATATTTTTCACGTGGGGCGCATATTTTCACACCCAAAATAGCAGTAAAATCGGCCTGGCGCTCTAGGCAAAACTCCCAACCAGGCCACATCTTAAACACGGACAAACGACCAAAAACAAACAGAGAATGGCGACGATACGAGATGTCACGCCTCCTCCACAGCTAAAGCCCACAGGAAAATAAGCCCAGCCATAAAAGTTAATTTGGGAAAAAGGACGACGCGGAAATTCGGTCTCCAGAGCTGGGAACGGAAGGAAACCCATTTCTCACAAAACAACGCACAAATAAAAGTGGTGTAAGGACGGATGACCCTCAGCGAGCCGCATTGTAGCGGAGCTCCGGTTTTGAAATTTACATGGTTATGTAAACCTCTACTGATGATGGAGAAAAGAAAAGAAGAAAAAAGGATAAAAAATTTCGGCGTGGGAAATGCGCTTTTATAGGGAAAGAGAAAAATCGAGTGTCACGTGATCTATAGCGTTTTTTTGGCTGGATTGGGTTGAGAACCGCGCCGAGCCCTAATGCTATGCTGCTTTGGGGAGCGGGTCCACCTGGCTTATTTCTCCCACCGGTTCCTGAATTCTGATATTGGGCTTCCTCCGGTGGAGAGTGGATGGAACGGCCGGTGTTAAGTTTGTAGCCGCGCCTTTGTCTTAGCTGCCATAGCTCGGGTCTCGGGTGCAGACATTTGAAACCAGCTTGGGTTGCAGATTGGTTCGATACTTTCAACCTCCAAACGAATTTTCAGCTTCAATGAGGGAACAGAATCGATTTTTCAGTTCTGCAGCATTCTCTTCGAGTGCTACCCAGCAAGAATCCTCAGCAGCTTGCAGTACGGCACCCCTGTCTTGCTCCGCTCAGGAAGTTTCTTGACACCAATCACGCCCATTGACGCATCCCAAAACTTGAAATCGCTCTAGCTACACATCACAGGAAATAGTTAGGTGTATTCAAACCATTCGGGAACAAAAGGCGTGAAGCAATGCGGCCATGAAACAGTAATTGGTGCCACGATCTTTTTCTGACATTCATTGCTGGATCCCAATCTCATTTTAGACAACTTTCCTAGTCGCGGAATTTCTTGGGCTTTCCCCCCTTTTTGCCGGAGTGTAAACCTCCATAAACGAAGCAAGGGGCTATGGGAAATAATGTGTCTCAAATAGTTTCTGAATATAGGTATCTTGGCGAAGAACAACTGTGAGTTAAGATGACATGGGATTTCTTTCTTTATGCAGGATGCACCAGAGCGCATGACATGAATGCTAGGTTTGCAATGGTTGGCTATATGGGCACATAACACGCAGCGTATCCCATCCGACCCGACCACAGCTTGGTCTCTAATCGAGAAATTAAATTTAGTTGGAAGCACGGAGCTGCGCATGTGTCCCATCTATACACTGTAACTATCATACCTCTCCTTGGGTCCTTGGAGTTCGTAGTTATATGATGAACCACCTAGCGTGAGGCTACAAGGTTCCAGAGTTGGGCCGGTGCCGGGTCGCACGTGATAAAGTGGGTGACTTGCGGAAATATTTTATCCCGGAGGTATCTCGCAGCGCAAAAGTGGAGGCGTAGTACTTCCATGGCTCGGCGCGCCGCTCCCCCGTAAGTCCAACTCTCCTCGCTGGGCACGAGACCACTTTCCCACCAACGTCTTCACTTCCAATTGCACTGTTCTCTGCCGCAAACCAACACTCTTGCTCTACGGTATGTGTCCAACACTCTTAAGAAAGTGTTCCTCATTGACCTGTTCTGCTACCTGGTTTCTGGGGCCCCGAGCCAGTCATCCGACCCTAGTAGCCTGCACCACTACTACCGCCCAGACGGCCCTTGAGGATCTCCGGGCCTTTTGTTTTATCCAGAGCTGGTGCACGCTCCGGGGAAATCTACTATTATAGACCTACGGCTGACCGTTGATACTTTCTTTAGATTCTAGAATATACTCTCGTTTGCCTCCCTATTTCTGTTACCGCATCTACCCCTCGTTATAGATATAGAACTTTCCGAATGGGTTCTAGAAACGTGCCAGACAAAGGACATGCCTCTCTGCGCTACATCCCATTATCATACAATCAAGCTGATTCTCAAGCCTCAGCGCTGAGGCTTGTGCTGACGCTGAACCCGCACTGGGAACACTCCGAAGGAAACATTGAATTTATTAGATTTACGGATGGAATAACCAATACCGTATGTAATGGACAGTTATCGCAACGAAGAGAAAACCATGTGCTTATTATTCATACCTGGTGTTGTGATATAGCTACTGAAAATTATAAAAAGAGTACCAGGCCTCTCAGATGAACAGATCGACAACGATGCAGTCTTGATGAGAGCCTATGGAAACAACACTGAAATACTAATCGACCGCGACCGTATGTAGACCCCAAAATAGCGGTTAGGAATTGGGAACTAAAATGACATCCTGTAAACAGGAGAAACCAGATCACATGCCCTGCTTGCTGAACGGGGTCTCGCCCCGCCGCTCCTTGCCAGGTTTAAAAATGGCCTCCTCTACCGCTTCATTCGTGGGAAGGTAACTTCGCCCAATGACCTGAACAATCCGCGCGTTTTCAGTGCAATCGCGCGACGACTTGCTCAATGGCATGCGGTACTACCAATCGACGAAAAACCCTCTACGACCTCGACCCAAGGAAAGCAAGAAGAGACGAATTCTATGACTGGCCCCACCACCCGTACCTCCACAACCTCAACGGAGGTGGATGATATAACACCCGTAAAGACTCGGCATGTAGGAACTAGTCTCTGGACTGTTTTGCAGAAATGGATTCTTGCCTTACCTGTAACTACAGAGCAGGAACGCTCGAGGCGGAAGAATCTTCAAAAAGAATTTGAGAGAATAGTTGTGGAGTTTGATAAGGAAGAGGGATTTGGGAAGGGTGGGGTACGTTTACATGCACTATCTCATTAATCCGCAAGATGCTAATATGAAGATGTAGCTTGTATTTGCCCATTGCGACCTTTTGAGCGCCAATGTCATCATTCTACCAAAGGATCCGGGTTCGACTCCTGCTGATGCAACTGGAGATGAAACCGTGAGCTTCATCGACTATGAATATGCAACACCATCACCAGCAGCATTTGATATCGCAAACCATTTTGCGGAATGGGCTGGTTACGATTGCGATTTCAGCAAGATACCGACGCAGCCTGTTCGGCGGGAATTCCTCACTGAATACGTCAAGAGCTATGCTGAATATTCTGGCTTGAATGGAGCTAATCAGAAAGACCTTGTTGAGAAATTGTTTGAGGAGGTTGATCGATACCGTGGAATTCCAGGCTTCTATTGGTATGGAATGAAATTTGGTTCCCCATCGCAAAATAGAGAACCCATAACTAATATTGAAAACTAATAGGGGCGTATGGGCGCTGATCCAGGCGACGATTTCCCAGATCGACTTCGACTATGCTTCTTATGCTGAGCTACGTCTGAGTGAATATTGGGCTTGGCGTCACGAGGTTGATGGAAGCCGTGCTCGAGCAGGAGAAGTCATGCCCCTGCGAGAGCGACGGTGGGCACAAGAGGCATAGATGCGCTCATTTATCAATTAAGTGACTTGTCTACGGTCTCGCTTTATTAACCAAGAAATTTCACCAGCATGTCACTTTCTCGTCTTTACTTGTTTTGACTTTTGACTTCCTGCTAAGAGCGTGTTGGGACTCTTCTCATGAGATTCGTTTTTTTAGAGCGTTTTCATTCATTTCCAATCGCGCCTTCTATGGCGTCATGAACCCTCTGATTTCGTGCTGACTATGTTTTACATCTCGCGACCGTTTCAACAACAACACGATTCGCCCGAAGCTTGTATACGCGAAAACTATGAACGATGATTTCATGAAACGGGTTCCAAATACACGAAGAGAGTTTAAATCCAGGAACAGGCGCCATTAGGTCAGGGAACTAATGATGATAGTGTTTGTCTTCAACGACCAAGTCAACAACCAAAGATATGACTTCGTTTTCTTACTCCTTGGTTCTGTTTTTTCCGTTTAAATTAGATCAGTACAAGAATATCAATTTTTCCCCTTCTGTTGAACAATTGCGTCATTGGCTGTGTCAGGATGCTTTGCCGGTTTGGAGGGATTTAGAAGGGGTAAATGGATGTGTGGAAATAAATTTTATTTAACCTCTTCCATGCGATCTACATTGCAGCAAACGTTATCAACATACATGCCAAGAGACATCTACCTTCAACCCAAGATAACGAACTAACTTTCTCCAGGACTCGGCCCCTCTCCTCGCGTGCGCTGCTGGAATATCCGGCTTTGGGTCCGCAGTCGACCTCGAGAAGAGTTCTAGCGAGATCCAACCCTCGAATCCAAGGTCAAAGAAAGCCCGAGCAATAGCTAGGATGGGAAGATACCCACCCCTATCCTCCTCGAACGCAAACAGCCTCGCATTCCGCGACCAAGACATCCGGCTCGGCTGTCCCGAAACATGCCATTCATGCCCTTTAACCAACGGCCTCTCCAACCTCTCCCCATCGACAACCTGTATATAAAATACCTTCCGCACATCAATAGTAGCCACCAAGCGCGCCAACGAGGCTCTCAAATTCGCATCCGCATTAACCATCTTCCCATCCCTCACTGCCGGATCCGCATACACCCTTCCAGCCAAATTAAACGTATCCAAACAAATGCCAAAATTCGCCCTATCAACCCTCTGCACCACCTCCCAGCACGCTTCCCAGGTACCTACATGCGTGCTCCACGCAAGAGCCTCATACGCGAACCGAACGGGCGGGTCCTCCCGCAACCCCCCGCTCCGCCACCTCCCTCAAATCGCTAACAATAACATCCAAATCCCCCGTCGTCCGCGCCTTGCCAGTGCCTGGGTCCGGACCCAGGAAATTCGCCGGGATCTGAATCATATCCGTGCGCAGTATTTTCACCAGCTGGAACCACAGCGCTAATTTCCCATTGAGCAGCCGATGGTGCTCCGCGCGGTCCAGCAGGCCCTCGTAGAAGAGAAATGGCTGCAGGGTGACGATTTGCAGGTTGTGTTTGTCGCAGAGCTGGCGGATTTCTTGGGCTGCGGTGAGCTGGTTGGAGTGGGTGAGGCCGTCTGTGAGTGCCTGGGCGTGGGATTCGAGGTCTTCGTAGAACAGCTCTATGCCCTTGAAGCCGTGGCGGGAGGCTTGGGAGAGTTTTATGGGGAGGTCATGGGCACAGGCGCGGCCGAGGGACATGGATGGGATGCAGGGTCGGTTTGGAATTTTCCTTTTGTGGAGTGATAGCTGAGTTCATCTGCTCTTCGTTTTGCTCGTAGAGGTTTGTCATGTTCTTATTTAATCTGGATGTTCTTGTCGAAGTGAGTCCATCCCCATTTATATATTGCCTCCGTTCTCATTCCGTCTTTTCTATATGTGTAGGTTGTTCCCTCTTTTTTTCAATTTTTCAATTTTTGAGCCTTGACCTAAGAACCTTGTTGTCCTCCGCCCTTCTTCGCATTCATCTTCACTCCTGCCGTTGTCTTGAAATCGAATCGCGCGACGGTTCCTCCGACGAACCGATTGTGCACCTCACGCACGCCAGAACATGGAATAGGCACGCAAAACTGTACATAGTAGAAAAACCCTAGATTGAGATGAAAGTCAAATTACCTCTGATAATATCAATCCAACCTATATGCCTAGAGGCTCATCTTCAATTACATCCTTCTGAAAGGCTGAAAAGGAGAAAGGATTGTCTTCGCATCCCCGAGAAAATAAGGGCTGGGCGGAAGACTTGAACGGCCACTTTTGGTGTACTCTCACCATCCAATAGTATTTACCTAATTACTTGCCTGTTCTTTGTTAACTTAACTCCCCAATCCTCAGTGTGGAATATTGCTCCGTCGAGCAGACATACCGATGCAACTTCTATACTCCAGAAACACTCCGCATCAAGCTTCGGGCTCCCTTGTCGGGGGATTTGAGCCCATGAAATGTTTTAGGATGAGCGACAGATAAACAAGCGGCTTATGGAACGAAGACTCGATTCACGGCACAAGAAAGCAACAAAAAGACAGTGGATTCTCCTTCATCTAGGGCCAAAGCGCATCTGTATAAACGTGGAAACATAGGTACAGCCGTATGCTATGTAAAGGTACAGTTGCACAGGATCGAAATATATATAAACATATATATAAGGATTTATACAATTAAAAACAGTACATGAGCTTCCCCTCCAGGGGAAGGCGGGCAGGTACTTCCAGTTTCGTAATTTTCAAGATCTGGCCAGGAATTAATTGACTTAGTAAGTCTGGACATCTCAGGAGTTGTTCTATCTTGCAAGTGCCCTGAATGCTCTGACGTTAAACTTAGCTTCTCATATAAATAAGCTTTTTAACCGTAAGTTAGTTAACCAGTTAGTTAACCCCGTGCGATCTGGCTAACGTACTTAGGTAGCTTTAGCTCCAAAGCCGAGTGTGCCCTAATTAGTTAACTTAGTTAACGTTAATTATTCTAACTTAGTTACCGATTGGGGTAACTAACCAACCTAACCCTAGACCTTGCGCTCACGGCAGAAGATTTTTTACCCTGGTTGCTACGAAATGGGCTCTTTTTGATCGAACTATTCTAGCTGCAATCTATCGGCAACGGGGCGATATACTCTTACCAGTTGGCGGGTTGCCAGCGCTGGGAGCTGGAGGATGGAGTGGGCCACGGAGATATCCGGCTCTGCATGAATCGAAGTCACTCAAAGAAGTCATTGCTATGTGCAGGGGGTTTGCGTGCAAGGAATTTTTCGAGTCTCTTTGTTGAAGGATCTAAAAACATAAGGTTAACTAACTAACTACGGAGTAAGGGGATTTTAATGCCGTGCAGATAGATGGTCGTTGCAAGGGATGGATCTCGTTTCTAACACGTGGCCAATATCACAGCAGCGATATGTATACGACATTTCCACGATGCGTGGGTTGAATATCCCCTGGGAGTAGAAAATCTTGTGACAGGTTCCAGAAAAGCCAAGGAGGAATACCAAAACAAAAAAAAGAAAAAAAAAAAAAAAATGATAGCGGGATGAACAGCCCCCCCACCTCTCTGCTCACTTGTTGGATTCTTTGACTGACCAGAACGTAGGTAGCTAGGGTACGCCATTCATGGGTATTCTAGTATGTGGTCTACAAGTCTAGATTGCTTTTAGCTGGTGATCAGCTCTTGCTTCAAATGCAGGAATATAGCCGGACAAGCCCGTTTTAGGGTAATGGCCAGCGCCGTTGGAGCAAGATGCAGCAATCCCAAAGACCAAGCAAGACCTAGGGTTAGACGCAGATATCCAAAGTCCCAGTCTGGATAGCTAGGATGCTTGATACTTGGATAAAGGGTGGACACTGCACACCAAGGGGCCCACGGGTCTCTCTTGATTCTTCCTTATTAGGAAAATGTAAGGTGCAGTACATACATAACTCACCTCATTTCCCAAAACGACCTTTGGGCGTCCGCGCACGCTGTCACGGTGCTACCGGGCCACCCTCATCGCCGATGAGGGCTCGGCTTGCCGCGCTACCGAGGGGGTATAGGTTTCTAGCACACTTCCAGGAACTTACCATGGGAGTCGAGGTGGTGCGGGAGATGCCGGGCCACCGGAGGGATGTGGGGAGTGTTAATGGGGGGGGGGAAACATGATATGTTGTATTGGCAGTGTAAAAGGGTGGGGTCGAGGGGGAGGAGGATTTGGAGATTTGAGATCTAATACAACTAATTTGTCGCTTTGTCGCCCTTATTATTATTATTAATAGTATCTGTCTGTCTGGTTGGTTATTATCTTGGGTGGCGGGTAGCTTTTCTCGATCGATCGACCTGAGAGTTGGATCCATAGTTCTACCATCACAAGATTTTGTGTGGATGTACTTGTACCACAATCAGAGATAAATCTGTTCCCACCATCTCATACCAACCTACATATCTTGCGCCGTTGCTACCTCAATGCCATCATTCCACTGGGATAACAGATAAAGCCAGTACTTTGTCATTGCGAAAGAAGCCACCTGTTACCATTTTTAAATTTTGCCTCTGCCATTGTTAACTTATTATTAGTTATAGTCCCTCCCTATATTTCAGGGTTTTAAATAAAATAAAATTAAATACAGAAAAAGGATAGAAAAAGAGAAAAAAAAAACGAAGGTACGGCTACCATGGCACCCACCATAACACCAACGCAACCTGTAGGCTGCCCGCCACAACACGGTTAGGGGGTAGTCAAAGATCCAAACCCGATACCAAAACCCGCCTAGGTAGATAGAAGAACCAAGGAACAACCCTGAAGGGTTACGATCGGCCCCACCCACACTATCTTCACCTATAATTCACGATCCACTATCCACTATCCACTATCCACTATAGAATAGAAGATAGTGGGGCCGCGAGTATCCCCCTTTTTTTTTTTTTTTTTTTTTTTAAAAAAACATATAACTAGATAACTAACTATATAAAATTAGAATTAGCTGACGTTTGCGCGCAAAAGTACCGCAAAGCAAAGCCGCCCGCCTGCCCGGATTACCGGAAACCGACTCTCCATTAACAAACTAACATGGGGGGCACATTATTTTCATGTAGTTCGAGTAGTTCGATTGGGAGATTGAGAAAAAAGGGAATGGAGGGAAGGGGAAAACAGCCCACATAAATGCCGAAAAAGAATTTCAAAGGCGCTTTACACAAGTGTATCCTTTGTTGTTCGGGAGACTTGAGTCTGGGATAGAACTGCTTGCGCAAATAGTATATACATATATATATATATATATATACATTTTTCCCCTTTTTTTCCTTTTTCTCTTTTTTTTCTCTTTTTTCTTTTTTCTTTCTTTTTTCTTCTTTTCTTTTGGTTTTTGGTTTTCATGTTTTTTTTTCATTTTTTCATTTTTTTCAATTTTTTCAATTTTTTTTTTTTTGTTTTCATTTCCCTTCCCCCCCCCCCCCATGCAATGAAATACAAGAGATAATTAACTAAGGGACAACATATAGGTATAAGAACAAAAGAAGATAAACACCACTTCCATAGACTTTCTTTAGTCCGTCCTTAAATGAAACGAAATTAAACAAGAAAGAAAAACTAGACAAAAACAAAACACAACCAAAAGAATAGGCAAAAGCTAAGGTGTCGAACACAGTTCCGGTACATTTTTCTTCAAGTTGCTCCATTTTCTGTTTGGCTTTCTTCTCTCTCCTTTTGCCCCATCATTAAAAACTCCGCCGGGATTAGACCTCCCTAGAACTGAACTGAACTGCTCATTACAACATGAGAACGGCAAGGCCAGCGAGGACCATGCCGACTGAGACAGCACCGACACGGTTAGCAGCACCAATAGCAGGCGGCGGTGATTGTGGTGGGAGGCCTGGCGCTCCCGAGGTCGTTGGCAGAACACCCGAACCTGGTGGAGTGGTCGGACGCGGCGAATAACTCGTGCCCAAAGGAACAACCGGGCCTGGTGGAGGACTCGGACCGGGTGAAGGATTCGGTCCTGGCGGATAAACTGGAATTGACGGGGCACTCGGATAAGGAGCCGACGGAGGATAGATATGAGAAGGAGCCACGGGAGGCGGAATGGTATGAGCAGGAGGCTTGGGATGAGGTACGGAATGAGTAGGAGGCACGATATGAGGAGGCTTCTTGGTATGCGTAGGAGGCAAGATATGAGGAGGCTTCTTGGTATGCGTAGGAGGCAAGATATGAGGAGGCTTCTTGGTATGCGTAGGAGGCAAGATATGAGGAGGCTTCTTGGTATGCGTAGGAGGCGTGGTACCATTGCTTATCAACGAGAAGTTGCCGCAATTGATACGGGTGATGTTGCTGTAATGGACAACGATGGTGCGTAGAAGTATATGGATCATGGAATTTCGTATAGTAATGAGTGCCGTTTGTAAGATTCATGATATCTCCATACTTGCCGCTGAAATCGCCGGCTTGGCAGGTCCAAGGTTTTCTCTTATCACAAGGGGGGTACTCACCCCGGAAGGTGAGGTCGAGATGGGCAAGAGTAGACAGGCAGTCACCACTGCTGTTGACAGGCTGATCGTGGACGTGGTAGGCTAGCGCGTGTATGTGTCAGAATTACAGATCTGTAGAGAAATAGGGTGTTTTATAGGGTGCTGCTACTAACGGAAAGGCCCGTGTTTGGACTCCTCTGGAAAGCCCCAGAACTCGAGGGTGTACACCACGCCGTGTCCGCCCGGCCCGGCAGTCGCGTTGATTGTCCCGCGAAGGGAGGTGGTGTTTTTGTCCAAGAGCATTGCAGAGTAAACTACGCCATATGGGTTGTGGTATGTTTCCGGAGCTTCGATGAACTGGGCCGTGGTGAGGCCAAAGCTCAGTGCCGAGTAGGCAAGGAGTGCAGACGAAGCGCGCATTGTGAAAGCCGGCGCGATCGCCTTCTAGAAACAGAATTAGTATTAGAGCAATACTAGCTAACAAAGGATTGCGACTTGTGGAGGAATCGGCAGGGGGATAAGAGTATTGATATATGCATACCTCGCTAGGGTGAGAGAGCGGACTCGGAAATATGTACGCAAGCAACTGATTGATGTACAGTAGTAAGTATATAAAAGTCCACGGACGAGAAGAAGAAGGAAGGAGAAGAAGAAGAAGAAAGAAGAAGAAGAAAGAAGAAGAAGAAGAAGAGGAAGAAGAAGAAGAAGAAGAAGAACAAGAAGAAGAAGAAATAGCCACAGGATATGCTGCTTAAAGCTCCAGGCGGGAGCAAGGGGGGAGAGGGGAACATCGCGCTTTTATAAAGACAACAGCCACGAACGACAAGCGATTCGTGACGACGACTTGCTACTATGGCGGAAGCGGCTGAGAACTCGCAACTGTGGCTCGCGAAGATAGACTCTTGCATACAAGATTAGACTCCTGAACCTTATGCCGCCGCCCGCCGAATAACCTACCATTTAGGGCGCTGCTGCAGTGCTTGAACCAGCCAGCGCCAGTCAGTGGAGTGGCCAACTGTGGCTGCTTTTCCAGGGCGGCTTGTCGAGCGACAAGTGGTTAAGTCCCCCCTTTTTTTTTTGTGTGTTTGATTGATTCCTGTGATGCCCAGGTGGTTTCACAAGAATAACAGCCGATCAATCTTGGAATCCCCCAGTTTGTGGATGCACACATTTTCCCGTGTTTTCTTTTTTTCTTTTTCTTTTTTTTTTTTTTTTTTTTGAATCTGCGGAATCACCCACTACTCCGGTACTAACTAGTACCTAGGTAGCCTTAAACACTTTAGGGCCTGCCAATAAGATAGATAGATTGCTTTTTGTTTGGATATCGATCCCCCAATACAAACAATACCCCTCTATTGATATTCGACCAGGAGAAATGCCAAGAGCGGGGCACATTCTTTGCGATTGATCTGTCAGGTTCCGTCGCTCCACGGCCCACGGGCCTATGGATGGTGGCGGATTGGATTGCTGGGCAATCTGTCACCAACACATGACAATAACTTAATTAATAATAAATGTTGAGGAATAATATTGAATCTGCAGAGGGAGACGAGCAAGTGGATGCAACTGGATGGGAATGGACGACGCCCCCCCGATAACCTCGATCGCTTGATGAGGCTCGACCAGCGGATCCTCCCAGGTTTGCCAAAAAACACAGCCCAATTACATCGCTGGGTCTGCGGATTTGAGTTTGTCCTTCGTGTGGCCAAAGCCGGATGAGGTATTCCAGTAGATGGAATGGAATGGATAATGGATGCTTCTATCTCTGTTCTTTTTTAAGCGACCAGAAGGGTTCACTGTGGGAAACCTTCTTATTAAGCTAAGGAAGCTCCAATGATGTAGTTATGTAGTTACTACTAGTTAGTTACTCCGTAGTTATCTCAAGAATATTAAATAATAACTGGAATTACTTCTGTAATCTACATGCAAGTCTGGATCGCGCGTCGTTGCGATCTGCATCGATCGCCAGGCATGCTTGCTTGGCCTCAGGGGCATTTCATTCTTTGGCTGTTCCTCTTTAACTAGTTAGTTACTAGTTAACTACATATAGGAACTAACTTATAGCGCTTACAACGCGCTCCCGTAGTTAGTTACTGTTACGCGGTTTTGCTTGTAGTTAGCTAAGCAATAAACAACATCATGCCGCTGCCACACGAAACATACCAACAACAACAATAATAATAATAATAATAATAATAATAATAATAATAATAATAATAATAATAATAATAATAATGCCTCCTGGGCGCACACACTAAAAAAGTGACAACGCTGAGTAGATATCGTGTGCTGCTATATATAGTACCGTATGTGCCCAAGATATCAAACGAGACGCTCCCGCCGGGGGGGGGGGGGGGGGGGGGAAATAGAAGGCCCCACGGGCACCTTAAAAACTTCTTCTACCCAGGTCCCCGGGAAAAAGAAAAAAAAACAAACAGGGGCAATCCGGGTGATCTTTTTGGGAACT